ATAAAAAAGTTGCTATTATAAATCCCCCCCAATGAGCAGGTTAAGTGTTAGATATTCAAAAAAATAATATCAAATGAAAGGGAAATGTCTAAGGTTTTAGTATAACAAAAAATTATGTTGATTTGTTTATTTTTGAAAAAGTTATGGAAGTTTTAAGAAAAAAATGACAAAATTTACTGATTTTTAAATTTGTAATTTTTTTGGATATTTCCCCCATTTGCGGGGAACGAGGGAAAATTTTTCNCCCTACACTCTTCCTTAGACAGTATCCCATTCTATGAATCTTACAAGTTCAAAATTATACCATTGATTGGTTAAAAACAAATTGTTTTCGTATAAAGTATACTAATTATTACAGTATTATAAAAAATGGATAGTACCTATAATTAAAAAAAAAAAAAATACTTTCATCTTCCCTATCGGAATGAATTTTTCATATTGTGAAAAATAAATAAAATAATTTAAAGCTATTAAGAAAAAATAATTTATACCTAAGTACTAATAACAAATAAGTTATAAATAATTTTTAAAATAAATATAAATTATAAACAATGTAAAATTTATTTTATTTAAAATTATAAAAAATTCCTACCTTTTTTTAGTCATATTTTTATTACTATTATTTAGAGCACGCAAATAACAAATTAACAAAAACAAATAATCTACCTATTGTAACTACTAAATTATAAAAAAAGAAACAGATTAAAGATAAGATTTATCAAAAAAATTTTCATAAAGTATTACTCTATCGAATTTTGTAATCAACTAGATTCTAATCAATGCAGATACTTGGTAGTTTATTATCATTTGTAGAACCAGAGTTAAAAAAAATTTACCTACAACCACATTTGGAGTAACTGCTATTCCATTTATTATTACGTCTAGAACGTTTTCTTTTTCAAATAACGTTTTCTATGAATATAAAAATGAAAATACAGTCATAATAATAACTGTATTACCCAATAGTAATTAAAAATTAATAATAATTTCAATGTATATAAGGCCTAGCACGTTTTTGATAATTCGTAATAATAATTGAATTTTAAATTTGGGGGGCCGGCCCTGTGTCACATTAAATCTAATGGGGGCCAGGCCCACACATATCTACGTGCCTGGGTAGATAACAACTTTTGGACCATTATTTCGGAAGTTATTGATATATTTATATACTGATGAGTGGAAGAGTATGGGCGTTAAATTTTAAGTTATAAAAATAGCAGCACCCACTCACATCTTCATCTCCAGTCATTACTTTATAATAATAAATTTTATAATAATGATAAGCATAAGATAAGGTATTACTTTTCTATCATAATACGAAAGTCGATAAACTTTGTAATAGAATGAAAAAAATGGATAATTCAATAATTATTTTTAATTTGGTCAATAATCAAAACGGAAATAAATTATATCCAAATCCATGCTTTATTCAACCACAATTTATGAGAATTTACCTTTAAGAGACTCAGACAAACACGTAATCCTTCACGTGTTTTAGTATCATAGATTTCTTATAATAGCTTTGTCAAAAACAAAAATTTTACCATAATTAGAAGAATGATCGTTAATTTTTGATCATGGAATTTTTAAAGGGGGCAATAGTTACTAAAGATTCTTTGAGCAATGACAAACATTGTCCAATTAAGATTTTTTTTACTCATCAGATTTCAAAGTATGATACGACAAAAAAAGGTATTTTATTCAATGAAATTTTATGGGCGGTACAACTTTTAATTCTTTACAGGAATAAATTTATAACGGTTCAATAAAATAATAATTTTTACTTCCACACCAATAAAAAAAACTAAACGTGAAATTATTATTTTTAAACACAAAGTGTTGCACATTGTACAATATAAATACTAATAAGTAAAAAACAATGAAAGGTTATCGGAACAAGATTGATAATACATACTTTTTCTCCAAATGTGCATAGACCCATAAATAGTTTTTATGTTTTTGAAGTCTTTTTTGTATATCACTAATTAACTGTCTCATATGCATGAATATTACAAAACCAGCCATAGTAAGGTAAGAATTGGTCCAAATTATTGCATGAGAATAATGAAGAATTTCCATCATGCGAATCCCAAGATCTAGACTCAATTCAGTGTAGTAAATTAATTTCCCTGGATTTGTAGTGTGATTCATTGAATTACGATGAAAGAGTTGAATATAATGTCTAAGGAAAATATGAAATATGCTTCCAGCCAACATTAAACACTATAAAAAAAGTTTTAATCTTATATAATAATAATACACTGTAAGAAATAAACCAAAAATTCACATACATCAGTATGATGTTTTTAATATACATGTTATTTATACACAAGTAGTGTAATATTGACATAAACTATCAAAAAATAATCTACAAGTATAATATAATTAACACTGCTTATTTAAATTTTTCCTTATATTATATATGCGTTAATAAAATGTATGTGAGAATTTGGACACTTTTTAAGAGTATATGTATATCTTGCGTCTGGATAAAAAAAATAAATGAAAGTTACCTCAATCACCATAAAAGCAAATATGTGCTTTGAAAGTGTAAGACCGACGAGATAGGCAAAAATTAATAATAATATTGAAAATATAAAACCAATACTTAATAGTATTGACATATGTATGTACTTCCAGTTAACTCTAGTACCGGTTCCCATGGACATCCACATCTGAAAAAATATAAATTATATTTAGCCTGTGGAAAATTAACAATAAGGTAATTAATGTAATATCTCAAGAAATTCTTGTTTAGAGTAAAAGTTTTTGTCTTAGAAATCGATTCGAATATAAAATATATGATTAATTATAACATAAATTAATTGTTTATCGTAAAAATAAATCAGTTTTATTTTAATTTTAAATAAATTGCAAAAAAAAATAATTATTTACTACATTACACTGTAATTTTTATTTGAGTAATTTAAAGAAATGTATTTTCAACAAAGTTGAGTTATTATTAACAACAGTATTATATAAAAACAATAGTCTAAAACACGCCTATTTCTTTAAATTGTTTTTCCAGTCATAAAAATTCCTAGTTCTAGTTTAGTAAAATACCGTGTTTTCATTTATTGAGTTATTATTTGACTTATTTTCAAGGTCCATTATATATTAGTCGTCGAGTTATAACAAGATGTCTGTTCAAGTAAATTATTTTTCAGATTAGCTTTTTCTTGAATAGTAATTAACTAATTTACCAAAACAAAGCTAAATAAAAATTTAGTATAAATGACTTTTTGTAACTGTATAACTTATTTTACTTGATAACAACTTCAATTACTTGCTAAAACATTTGTTTATACAGTCCATTTGTTTTTTTATTTATAAAACGAAATTTCGATTTGACTACAAAACAGCTATTTTGATACGTAGTAAGAAAAAAAACCCAGCACAGGGGGGTCGCGGCACAGTGGTGACGTGGCATAGTTGGATCAAGTAAATGATATCTGACAGTGATTAAAATCACTATCAAAAATAAACGCTTCGATGCAAATCTTTAGATAGTGTTTAATTTTAAAAAAATTGGTGTTTTATTCCAAAAGCTACTTGATCTGCTGGTTCCTTATTAATATCT